CACACACACACACACACACACACACACACACACACACACACACACACACACACACACACACACACACACACACACACACACACGTCTGAACCTGCTTTTATGCCTTCAAAGCACTCATCAGATGCTTGCTGGAATGGTGGCACCATGCTGGGAGCTGTGTGCTCCCAGCCCCAAGACATGCAAGAGACAGTTCCATACAATGGGGTACTTTGTAGTCACTAAAAATTAAGGAGGCAGAATTCCATGTTGACGTGGAAAAATACCCATGATAATTGTTAACAGAATATAAACTAGGTTATAAACAAAGCTGTGTAGAGGGATCCCATGTTTGTAGACTATACATAATGCAGTATATGTGTGTATATATATATATTTATGAATAAAAATGTTTGAAAGGACATACATAGATCGATTAACACCCTAAGTGTGGAATTATATGTAATTTTCCTTCTTGGCTTATGTTTGTATTTGCCTGTAAGCAGGGTTTTATTTAAAAATTAAATTGTACTTTTTGAATAGGTAATATGCACTTGGCATCAAATTTAAGGGGAACAAACAGATACTTGGTGAAAAGTAAAACTCTCTCCCTGTCCCCCAACCACCCAATTTCTGCTTCTCAGAGGTAACCCCTCGTTGTATATAAATCCGGAGCTATTCTTAAATGAGAAAAAGAACATAAATTTCCATTTTGAGGAAAACAGAGTTAGTGCCCCCAACACCCCTCAGTTCCTGAAGGGTACAATTGGTCCAGTTCTGATCCAGGGAAGGAAAAGGCAGTGGCTGGAGATCCAGGGTGTGGGTGTGGGTCAGACATTGCTCTCTTAAGGCCAGGGGCTGGGCGGTAGGATGGAGTTGATGGGGGGTGGATGGCTCCTTCTGGATTTCTGGGACCGTCCCCCGTCCCTGGCAGACCAGGGACTTCCCCCAGTCTCACCTCCGTTCCACACAAGACACACCCTTCACAAAACAGACTCCATTGGTGAAAGCCACACCAAGCCTCCTCCCCCGAATCCGAGCAAGAGACACTCACTCTGAAAAATGGAGAACGCTAAAAACTGATCACGAAACTTCTGATAAATCAGTCCGTTAGGCCTGCAGAGAAGTGGAGGAAAAGCAAAGATGAGCCCCCGCTCTGAAATCATCTGTTCATCCCCACCCCATCTCTGTTCCAACCAGAAGAGAAAAGAAGATTTAAAACCCAATTCTACCTTCTTTATCGCCATGTCCCTGGGGCTGGACCAGGTAATTTCCATCACTGCTTTAATCCATTCTACAACCAGGGGAGTGCAGGTAGGCATCTTGAAGCCTAAATTAACACCGATTCCCCCTAACCCTCCATCAGTCACAGCCTCGTCCCTGTGCTTGTTCTGTCCAGACTTGCTTGCTGTCACCCCGGCCAGGAGGCAGACAGGACGTTCCTCGGAGAAGTCCCCAGCTGACTTGGGGTGTCCCTGCAGCCCCATCGTAAGCTCACGCTTTACTTCATGGCCCACATGTCAGGCCATAACGCCCCTGCATCTGGACCCCTCAGCCATCACCAGTGCTCAATTCACTAGCTCCCTGGGGAGAGTGAGCAGAGGCCCTGGGGCACAGCGGGGGACACTCACCAGGTCAGCATCACTCCAGACAGGAACGTGGACACGTAGTGGTGAGACACCCACCAGCCTTTGATTCTTAAAAGAAGAGAAGGAAAAGGAGCTCAGGCCGGGAGAGAAACTCAAGTGTCTCCCTGCTTCCCAGCCTGTGTCTGCGGGGCGGGGGTGGGGTGGGGGGGTGGGGGGGTGCCCTGTGACCCAGAGACAGCTCCTTGGAGGAAGAAACGTACCCAAGCCAGGACTTCTCCTCTTTTTCTGTCCAACGAGATGCACAATCACACAGAGACCCAGAGAGGCACTCGGGCCTCCAGCAGGTTCCCACTACCCTCAGAACACATCCCTAACCTCCTCATGACCCCAAGCCCCGCCTCCCCGTCCCCCCTCCCCCCACCCTAAGAGGCTCCAAGCATCCTTTTCTTTGAATCTGCCAGACCCATTGCTACCTCGCAGCCTATTATGGGCTGAATTGTGCCCCCCCTCAAATTCCTATGTTGAAGTCCTAACCCCAGTACCTTAAAATGTGAGTATATTTGGAGACAGGGCCTTTAAAGAGGTAATTAAGGTTAAATGAGGTCATAAGGGTGGGGCCCTAATCCAACAGGGCTGGTGTCCTTAGAAGCAGAGGAAGAGACACCAGGGGTGTGCCTGCTCACAGAGCAAAGGCCATGTGAAGACGCAGTGGCCGTCTGCAAGCCAAGGAGCGGCCTCAGGAGAAACCAACCCTGCTGGCACCTTGATCTTGACTTCTAGCCTCCAGAGTCGTGAGAAAATAAATTTTTGTTGTTCCAAGTCCCTTAGTCTGTGGTATCTTTTCATGGCAGCCCGAGCAGACTAACAAAGTCTTCAAACTTGTTGTCCTCTCTGCTCCAAGACCTTGGCCTGCCTGGCTCCTGGTCCAAGTTCAAATTTTGGACCAACTGTCACCTCCTCCAAGAGGCCTTCCCTGACCACCTTAGCTAAAACAGCTAGACAGGGGCAGGACAGGAATAAAGATGCAGATGTAGAGAATGGACTTGAGGACACGGGGAGGGGGAAAGTTAAGCTGGGACGAAGTGAGAGAGTAGCATTGACATATATACACTACCAAATGTAAAATCGATAGGTAGTGGGAAGCAGCTGCATAGCACAGGGAGATCAGCTTGGTGCTTTGTGACCACCTAGAGGGGTGGGATAGGGAGGGTGGGAGGGAGACGCAAGAGGGAGGGGATATGGGGATATATGTATATGTATGGCTGATTCACTCTGTTATAAAGCAGAAACTAACACACCATTGTAAAGAAATTATACTCCAATAAAGATGTTAAAAATAAATAAATAAAACCGCTAGACAGCCCCGCTCTGGAACACATTACCCTGCTTCATTTTCTTCACGGTGCTTGCGCTATATCTGAAATTATTTTCTTCTCACTTGTTTCCTGAACCCTGTTCCCTGCTCAAAAGAGCAGGGATTTTGTCTGTTCATCTGTGACACCTGGCTCAGAGCAGGTGCTCAATAAGCGTGTTGAATAAACACAGAACACTCGCACACGTTTATGCAGAGCTGTAGCTACCTACATTACCCCACACAGATGCAGAGAGACAACAGACTGTACACACTGCATCTCGCACCATCCCCGACGCAGCTTCTCTCTGGGAGCCCCATGCCCTAGGCTCATCTGCTCCTCCGTCTACAGCAGGCCCTCGCCCCAGTCAGTCCAGAAGCTGCGGGAACTCTGCTGTCAGAGCCCAGCGCTCCCGCAGCTCAGGGCTCTCACTCCACAGCAGGACAGCGAGCCTGGCTGTCACCCACTCCGCAGTGTCACAGGCAGCCCTTATCCTTCGAAGTCCCCGAGTGTGTTTCAGGCCTCTGCTGGGCTCCCCGGCCCTTCTCCAGGAGCTCAGTTATCGGAACATGATGTGGCAGCAATCTGCTCTGTCAAATGCACCCTGGGATGCCAGGAATTGGGACCCCCGAGGCATCCACGTGGGAGTAGCACTCAACCTTTGTCTTTCCAGAACTCTCTTGGGAGAGTGCAGCCAAGTGGGGAGATGGGGTCCAGGGCGCTCCTGCTCACCAAACAGTGGCACCTGAGGGTCTGCTGGTTTGGGGGACGAGCTGCTGGATTAGACTTTTCTTTGAAACTAAAATCATCCTGCAACTTGCTTTCTTGTCTCGACTCCCAGGCAGCTATCTGTGGACCTGTCACTGACTTCTTAAATGCGACACGACATTTCAGGATGTGGCTCTGCCATTCCTGAAATGTTGCTATCATGCTTCATGCTGCCACGACATACTGTGGAAGCCCCCCGTGAGATGACGCTGTTTCTCCACGGCAGCTACCAGGAAGTAAGCAGGATGGCTGGGTCGGTGGGCACGTGCGTGGTTACTTCTCAAATTACCCTCCAAAACGGCTATCCCCATTTACACTCCCATCCTCAGTAGAGCCTGTTGAGTTCCCCAAACCCTCACCAATGCTGGATACCCAGTTTTAAAATTTCTCCCAGTCTTATTATGTGACAATTGGTGTGTCACGGAGATTTTAATCTGCATTGTCCTAATAAGTGGATCTGACTGCTCTTAAAACCTTCCAGCTGAACACAGACATCATAAAAGCAGGAACAGCATCTTACCCCTGTCTTCTCTTTGCAGCCCTTCAATAGTTCTGGCCATTAAAATAAAAAGAAAGAAATGAAAGGGACCTCCCTGGTGGTCCAGTGGTTAAGGCTCTGTGCTTCCAATGCAGGGGGCGTGGGTTTGATCCCTAGTCAAGGAACTTAGATCCCACATGCTGCAGGGTGTGGCCAAAAAAAAAAAAAAAAAAAAAAGAAGTTCTGGCCATAAATTGGGTGTTAAGGCAATGGCCTGTGGATGCTTGAGGGGTTGTGCTGAGGAGCAAGGTTTTAGGTGGCTCTTTATTCCCAGCACTAACAGCATCAGGTAAACAGTAGGCACTCAAGAAATGTTGAAATGAAAAAAGTGATGTCCAGGAGGTGCAGCTGGTCTAGATGCCACCAGCACAGAGGTGACAGGAGATTGATGCAGGTGCCACGTGAGTTCACGGGACAGGATGAGACATCCGTCCACTTCTTTGTTCCCAGTCTCCCCTTCCCCGTGTCCCTGTCTTGCCCGTCAAGAGTCTACAAGGACCCCTGGCTCTAATTTTCTGACTGAAAACACAGTTGGCCCCAACCTTAGACTTTCAGCTTGAAGAGGTACCAAGAAGTCTCTGCAAGCCCTGGAGGCCTGGCAAGCCCCACTGTCCTTTGTCCTACCCCGCAAAGGTCCCTTGAGAAATGCCCTCTCTCTGTACAGAAACGGCTAGAGCCAGACACAGGCTCTGGGCAACAAGCTTGGCTGAGCAGCAGCTTTTAATTTCACAGCTCACTGTGCCCAAAGCCCAGCGCTGACAGATGCTACCAATAAACACAGCTCAGCGGCATTGGGAGAGGCTAAAAATGGCCTCTTCCCCAGCGTGCATTCACCAGCCCCATCGTCCATCTGCACACCCCAGAGTTCTGGGCTGGTTTCGTTCACATGTGTGTGTTTACATAACAGTTTTACTGTGATGTCATTCAGACACTGTACAATTCACCCATTTAAAGTATACAACTCAGTGGTTTTCAGTATATTCAGAGAGTTGTGCAAACATGACCACAATCAGTTTTAGGACGTTTTGTATCACCCCAGAAAGCAAGCTGCACCCGTTAGCAGTCACCCTCTGGGCCCGTTCTGCCACAGAAATGAAGCCTGCAGGAGCTTGTGGGCTTTTTAAATGAGCAGACAGTAGATGCCCCAGGAAGGGTGGCACACTGCGTGGCCAGAATGTAGGGACAGCATGTCCTGGTATCTGGGGATTGTGCCTGGAGAGCTCCCTTCAGGACACTTCAGCCATGTTTGTATGTGTGCATAAGACCTGGGCACCAGTCACTATTCAACCCCTGGCTGGCTTTGAGCTTTGGGTCAATCTGGGCGGCTGGGGGAATGGCTTCTACACGGAGGCGCCCTCTTGCCCCTGCCATCCCTACACCTCTGTATCCTAGGAAAGGCCCTTATAAAAACCCATCAGATCTAGGCATTGGTGGGTTGGCTTGCCAGAAAAGCCAACATGATTCCTGATTCATTATTCATTCTGGCCCGGAACTAGGGCAGAGGACATCTGTTTTGCCTGCCTGTCAATCACTCCCTATTCTGGTTCTCCCCCTTATCATTCCTTCGGGGAATCACCTCACCCCCACACTCAGTCTGGGTGGCTCAGTGGAGCTAAGATAACTGGGCACATCGCCTAGAGCCAGCCAATCAGGGCTCCGCATCCCTCCAGCCACAGTGATTGGGGCAGGGATGAGCATGTGACCTGCACCTAGCCAATTGGAAGTCTGTCTCAAGACTGCCCCTAGAGGCCAGTAGAGGAAAGATGCTCTTTCCTCTCGGACTGCTGATCTGGTAGGATGCTGGCCTGGGCTGCTGGGAGCCAGTGAAGGAGGTAACAGAATAAGGAGAAGGAGGGGGACTGTTACATTGTTTGAGCCCTTCTGACCTCCTTGAACTATTCATATGCTCCCATAAATACCCCTCATGTTTACTCCTATCAGGTGGTTTTCTGTCATTTGCAAAACTTGCAAGGGAGGTTGACTTGCTTATTACACTAATTGAGCTAATGAGCTACATCTCACATGGGAAGCATCAGACACAAACCAAGGGTGGCTCCAGCCCATGATGGGGGGCATCCTCCCCACCTCTCCGGGCCTTCTTCCCCCAATACACCCCTAATTCAAGTCTCGGATGCAACTGGGAACAGGACGAAAAAGGCCCCGTCAGGCCAAAACTTGGGCAGCAGGCCTCCAGGAAACCCACATGGCTCAGTTCCAGCTGTCTTTCGAACACAGGTATGGCCCCAATGACCTTCCCCCCTCATTGCAGAGCTTGGGTTCAATTCATTTCTACATAGACCCTGGGGTGTTTACTGGGTACCGACTGTGAGCTCCAGAGCTAGCCCTGAGACGCTTCAGAAATGAGAAAGGTAGTATTCATACCAATCTGGACCCACTCCCTCTTCCTCGCTGCGCTTTCTTGAAAGGGTTTCTTAGCTATTCCCTAATAAGTGCCAAGTGTGAGGGGAAACCTCACAGGCATCTCCCTTGCCCGCCCCCAGGAGAGAAATCAGCTCTGAGAAGGAGCTGGGGGAGGATGGAGGCTAAATACCCAACAGATGTTGAGGATGAGTCACAAGTTTTAATCACCCAGATTCCATCCACCTGCCATGCCTCCCTCCCCCACAAATTGGCCACAACTCCCACACTCATTCCAGAAAACGAGACACCTTTACGGGCCCACCCCACTCATTCCACACTCCCCACCACCAACACATCTGTTGTCCCATCAGAGCACAAGCCCTAGGGAGGCCCCAGAAAAGGCCCCATTAAAGTGTCAGGAAAGTGAGGGGGCTTTGGAACCCCACTTTCCCCCTTCAGCCCTCCTCCGTTTTCTGGGTGTGCCCCACACTTGCAGGCACCTCCACTCAGTCCTGCTCCCTCCTCTCGGGGACCACCCCCCCCAACCACATCCACAGAAAAAAGTGACCAGGATAACTCTTACTAAAGTGTTAGTGACTGTTAGAGATGTAGCATGTCCCTGAACACTCTTAATATGAGTCCAGCAGAAGGAGGAAACTCCAAGGCCGACAGCAAGCCCAGGGATGCACAAAGAGAATTAGTAACAAGAAAGCCTGGCCCATTGTCCTGCGCCCATTTCCCCACTATGTACTACTCTGAGTCCGCTCCGACCCCACCCAAAAGCTGGAAGACACTATTCACTAAAATTAAGGAAAACTACAAACGTTATTTATTTGGTAAGATTTTCTACTTCAGTGTTTCCCCAAGCATGGGGCATGTACCACCAAGTTTTAGATGGTACCTGAGTGTAACACTAGATGATACTGAATCACGTGGTGAGAAGTCATGTTTTCTGTTCTTTCCATTCTCCTGATTAAGTCAAGGAGAGAGTCTCAGTTAAATGCTAGGACACCTTTAATGCCTCTCGAGATCTGCTAATCTCCCTTTTTACACACATACACACGCTTAAGAGAAATAGCAGGCCTCAGGTTCAGAGCCTTCAGGAAGCAAGATTATTGACTTCAATAAATTAGACAATGAAAATGAAAATCTATTTTTACACTATTTCCTCTTTCCTGCAATTGATGCTGGTTTTCCACGTATGGTGGTGAAATAGTTTCCTTTTAAAATAAATTAATGTTTATTTAAGTAGAAAAAAAAAGGAAGGATGGATTTAAAAATGTGAGAAAATTATCATCCAGGTGATATTGGACTTGGTAAAAATGGTGTGCATGGGACAAGAATGAATGCAGTTTGAGAAACACTGATCTTTTCTAAAGGGCTACATGCTACAGGGCTGCATACCTAAGAACTGCTGTTCCCCTGGTCCTTACCTCTTGGCTCTACGTTCAGGGTAAGGCCCGGCAGGGCAGGGATATGCCATAAGAGACCACTGGGCAGAGAAGTAAGATGGTGGCAAATTATTTGGGGGTTTGGCAAATACCCCAATCTTAAACACACAGCTCCTGGCCGTTCCTTACCAGCCCCCAGGAAGGAGGAAGTGGGGAGGGGTGGGAGGTTGTTACTTTTTGTTTCAGGAAAAACAGGGACAAGACTGGTGTGCAGAGGTGCAAATGGACACCCCCAAAGGCATCGGACCTGTGGAAAATGGGTCCTGCAAGTGGCAAGTCGTGGATCTTAACTCAGTCCCGAGACTCTCATTGCCCTGTGAGAGGACCATCCACTTTTCTCACCAGAATCCATTCAACCTTCTGGTGACAGTACCCTGATTTTCCTCTGCGAAACCATTCCTCTCCTGACACTCAGCTTCTAGGCTTTCATTGACAGCCCTGGGGGTGGGCACAAGGCTCAAAACCAGCCAATCACAGCGGCGCATTCTCTGGCCACAGCAATTGGTTCAGAGATGGGCACATGATCAGTGAGTGCCAGTAGGACCCAGTGAGACTCTTGGAAGAGAGGAATGTGCCCTATTTTGCTGGGAATGCTAGAAATAAAGATGTGAGCCTGGAGCTGCTGGGGGCTCCTACCTGGAATCTGAGAATAAAAACAGCACAGTAGAAGGCATATGGGTGAGAGACAGAGAGTCTGGGTCCTGATGACATTGTCTGAACACCTGGATTAAGCCTTACCTGAAGTCAGTGCCAATGGACCCATTCCTTGATATAAGAATATAAATTTGCTACTGTGTTAGGAAGTACATTTGAGTTAGGGTTTCTTGTAAGCAAGAGACTGAGCACAGCAAATGAGGTGCAGTAGCCGATACCGTTTTCCTCCTCCCTGGGTCTGAACGGTCATGAATACCCTACCCCCACAAGGAGGAAGGGAACGCAAGGCGAGGGTGACAGCCCTCACCTCCATGACAGATTTCCCTTGGGCTCCCCCATACTCGCCACAAAGCCGGGCCCCCAATTACCTCGAGCCGTTGCTGATGAGAATACTCTCCCGAATCGTCAGGGTGCAGTAATACCATACCAGCAGGAAGTTAAAGACTTCGTCTGTCACCCTGGCATAGAGAAACAGTGCCCGGGAGGGGGGGCAGGCATGAGAATCAGGGACGGCTATCCCCGCCACCACAGCTGGACAGCAAACCAGGATGAGAACCGCCCACAGAGGCATGCCTCCAGAAACCCCCAGTGACCCCAGAAAGGCGGCGGCGTGTCTTCTCTCCACCTAGAATGCCCATCCCCCCGCTCACCTTTCTACATGAATCCTACCCGCCCTTAAGGCTCTAGCTGAGGTTTCCCCTCCTTGCTTGACCGCTCAGCCCACAACCACCTGTTTCCCTTCTAAATTTGACATCTGTCTGATATGAAATTTCTGGTGGGATGACAAGAGAAGACTTTAAGCAGGAAACCTAATTTGCAATTTTAAACTATATGCAGTGTTAACTCCATTGTAAACTCCTTCCATCCCCTTAAACCGTCTGGAAACTTTGCTGCACATACAAAAAGATGAACTTAAGAACTCCCTGGGCTTCCCTCGTGGCACAGTGGTTAAGAATCCTTCTGCCAGTGCAGGGGACACGGGTTCGAGCCCTGGTCCGGGAAGATCCTACATGCCGCGGAGCAACTAAGCCTGTGCACAACTACTGAACCCGCGTACTGCAACTACTGAAGCCCGTGTGCCTAGAGCCCGTGCTCCACAACGAGAAGCCACTGACCGCAATGAGAAGCCTGCGCACCGCAACGAAGAGTAGCCCCCGCTCGCCGCAACTAGAGAAAGCCCGCGTGCAGCAATTAAGACCCAACACAGCCAAAAATAAAATTAATTAATTAATTTTAAAAAAACCCTGCCTCCTCTACGGTGGGCAGAACAGGCCTTAAAGGCAGGCAGAACATGGCAGCTAGAGTCGGGCTGTGCCCTGGTCAGAGGGGAGAGCCTTAGACACGCTGTGCATGACCTTGACTGGCCTCAACTTTGCCATCTGTACAATGGGAATGTTGACCCCCTCCATGAGCATTCCTGGGTGAAGGATCCTGGGACAGAGCCAGCAACAGACAGCCCCTCAGAGGGCTCCCCCGCCACTGGCTCTCTCTGATGGGCCCTCATCTTATCTTTGACCCCAACAGGAAGCAGCTCTGTACCTCCTGGTGTCACACAGATCCATTTGTTGTGGGAACAGAAATGACTGCAGGGGGAGGGAGAACACCCCGGATCTCCTCCATTCTATCCCTGAACTGGGAGATCCTTTTCCCCAACTACAAAGGCCCTGGGAGGGAAATGGGAGGATACAACTTTAACAATAATAAAAGACGTTGGGAGACGTCTGGGAGAGTTTGGGAGAATGAAGATGAGAGACTCCTAATTACTTAAATGTGTAAAGTCCCCAAAGAAGAGATGACATTTGAGTAGGGCCTTGAAGGTTAAATATACGGAAATGTGCTTTCATTAGTATTGATAATAACTAAATTTGACCTGTTGAAATGGATACTTGTACCTATTATGCTCATTTATATTGTTCCACTTTTTATTTATTATTTACTTATTTATTTTTTATCTTTTGGCCACGCCGTGCGAGGCATGTGGGATCTTAATTCCCTGACCAGGGATCGAACCTGCGTGCCCTGCATTGGAAGTGTGGAGTCCTAACCACTGGGCCGCCAGGGAAGTCCCATGTTCCGCTTTTTATTTTGTAGACAATTATAGCATAAATGCTACATATTGCATAAATGTGTATATTAAAATATCTGTTTAAATCTTAGACCAAATAATCAATTTGATATACTAAATGCTATCTTTAAAAAAGACATTGGAAGGTGTCTTTTAAGCTATGTGACCCTGTTTCACGGTCACAGATGACAGACTCTCAGTCCTGCTCAACCACTGCCTGCAGAGGCAGTCTCGGGAGGGTCAGGAACAGACTCTGGAGACATGGGGCCTGAGTTCCAATCCAGACTCTGCCTCTTCCCAGCTGTGGGACCAAGGACAAGTCAGTGATTCTCCCGTGCCGTCACTTCCCCATCTGTAAAGTGGGGAGAGTCACAGCACCTCCAGGGTAAGCTGCTGTGATCATCAGCTGAATTTAGAACAGTGCCTGCAGGCTAGGAAGAGCTATGGATGTCCCCTGTCATAATAATTTGGGAAGCACCACAGAGCGTCCAGAGTCCAAGAAATGAGTCTCATATGCCTAACTCTGAGGAAATCAAAGGCCTACTTGACTTGCACAGGAAACGGGGGAGCGAAGACGGCCTCCCACTGCAGAGGGTCACTTAGATATCTCCAGACAGGAAGCAGCCCCAGAAGCGAGCAGTGGTTACCAGCATATTTTCCACTGGTCCCTTCCTATATCAAAAAAGAGAGGAGTGAAAATAGTTTTATGGCCCTGGCACGTTAGGGACATGCTTGAGGTGCTGGTCTCAGTCTGCCCTGCCAAAGTGTTTGAGTTTCCTGTTGCTGCTGTAACAAATGAGCACATACTTAGTGGCTTAAAGGCACACGTTTATTCTATTACAGTCCTGGAGGTCAGAGTCTGAAATAGGTCATCAGATCAGAGCTGTGTTCCTTCTGGAGGTTCTAGGAGAGAATCCATTTCCTTGCCTTTTCCAGCTTCCAGAAGCCGCCCGCATTCCCTGTCTCATGTCCTCACATCACTCTGACCTCTGTTTCTGTCATCACATCTCCGACTCTGACCCTCCTACCTCCCACTTATTAGGACCCTTGTGATTACACTGGGTCGCCTGGATAATCCAGGATAATCTCCCCATCTCAAGATTCTTAACTGAATCATCTGCAAAGATCTTCTGCCATGTAAGGTCAAGTGTTTGCAGGTTCTGAGGACTGGAACATGCAATGGTCTTTGGGGACCATTATTCAGCCTGACACACTAGGCGAGCACTAACTACTGGGAACTTGCAATGTCGCAGGCATTTTATGTGGACGATCTCTCTGGACCCTTGAACAACCCCACAGGGCTGGCTGGCTCTCATGGCAGGTGCATGTACCCCACCCATTCCCATCTGCATGGCTTCCAACAGCCAGAACGTGCAACTCCTGGTGCGCCCAGGGGCTTTCTCAGGCCACCAGAGCTCACCCTGCTGGTGCCAGAGGTAGATCAGGAGGGCAGGGGGATTAACATTCTCTGGGAGTCAATCCTTCCTAGACTGACAGCAGTCGGAGGATAAATACCACCTGCTCCCTCACCCCTCGGGCGGGATAACTGAGACACATCCTTCGCTGTCCCACAGTTCTCCAGCAGCACTGAACTCCAGGTGCCCACAGGATAACCCTTCCTTGTCTCACTTCCATTCCCCTACCAGTGTTTCCTAGGATCACCTCCCAAATAAACTATGGGCACTCAAATGCTTGTCTTGGGGGCGGTGCTTTCTTCTGGGGGAACCCAAACTAAGACAGTACTTCTTCCCATTTTACAGATGAGGAAACTGAGGTTCAGAGATGGGCTGCCCATCTAGGCCCCCTCGCTTGCCCGATTTTTAACCCACAGAAGGTGTAGTGGGCTAAACAGTGTCCCCCCCCCAAATTCATATCCACCCAGAACCTCAGAATATGACCTTATTTGGAAATAGGATCTTTGTAAATGTAATTTAGTTAAGATGAGGTCATACTGGGTTACTTTTTTTTTTTTTTTTTTTGGCCATGCCGCACGGCTTGCAGGATTTTAGTTCCCCGACCAGAGATTGAACCCGGGCCCTCAGCAGTGAAAGCGTGTTGTCTTAACCACTGGACCGCCAGGAAATTCCCGAGGTCATATCGGGTTAGGGTGAGCCCTAAATCCAATGACCGTATCCTCATTAGAAGACCATGAGAGAGACACAGGGAAGATAGCCACGTGACAACGGAGGCAGAGGCTGGAGTGAAACAGTCTTAAACCAAGGGAACGCCAAGGACTGCCGGTCACCATCAGAAGCTGGGAGAGGCAAAGGAGGATCCTCCCCTAGAGCCTTCATGGAGAGCATGGCCCTGCCAACGTGATTTCAACCTTGATTTCAGCCTTCTGGCCTCCAGAACTGTGAGAAAATATATTTCTGTTGTTCTAAGCCACGCAGCTTGTGGTGCCTTGTTACGACAGCCCCAGGAAATAAATACAGAAAGGGACGGGAGACATGGAAATGCCAGGCCCTCAGTGAGCCTTAGATCTTGACAACACACCACAGGTTTGTCCTTTGAGGGCCCTAGAGGCCCCAGGGCAAGGAAATCTGGTTGCACATCAAGAACTTCTACCCCTTCCAGGGGGGCATGTGAGCAGGCATTACTGGCGTGAGCAGCCTTTGCCCTCCAGGGAAATGGGCCAGGCCTGAGGCAGCAGGCCGGCATGGGCCCAGGGCCCGAAAGAGCCTTTGTTTGGACACTCAGGTGGGCAGACCAGCAACGGGACTCCCAGCCAAGCGCCTGTCAGGAAATAAACCCTTGACACGTGGGCCAAATGCCCAAGCCACACTTGGGGAGAAAAGCCAGGGCCAGAGAGAGGAACGAAACCCCCGGGGCAGCGCAGCCTCAGCTCACTGGCCTTGTCCTACACTAACAGAGCAGCCGGCATTCTCAACCACAACGCTGGGTGCCAGGCGCTGGGCAGAGCCACGCACAGTGTTAACACACTGAATTGTCATGACAACCCAGGGAGGCAGGGCCTGGTGTCACCCTCGTTTTACAGATGGGGAGACTGAGGCATCCAGAGGAAGCTGCCCATGGCAACAGCCGGTAAGTTTCAAAGCCAGGATTCAAACACAGGCAGTCTGTGGTCAATCTATTTCTTTCTTTTCTTCCTTTCTTATTTCCTTCCTTCCTTCCTTCCTCTTTCTTTCTTCCCACCCTACCCCCCACTGTTTTTCTCTTTGTAATTGAGATATAATTCACATACCATAAAATTCACCCTTTTAAAGTATACAACTCAGTGGTTTTCAGTATATTAACAGAGTTGTGGACCCATCACCACTATCTAATTCCAGAACATTCTCACCACTCCAAAATAAAAACCTGTGTCGCCCTTAGCAGTCACTCCCCGTTTCCCTTTCACTAATCTGTTTTCTGTCGCTATGGTATTTGCCTATTCTGGACATTTCATATGAATGGGTTCATATAGTAAGTGACCTTTTGCACCTGGCTTCTTTCACTCAGCATCATGTTTTCAAGATTCATCCATGTTATAGCATGTGTCAGTACGTCATTCCTTTTTGTGGCCAAATAGTATTACATTGTATGGGTGGACCACTTGGGCTCTTTCTTAACTACTACGTTAAAAGGTCGCTTCAGCAGCCGTTTAGTAGATACTTGTTGGACAGATGTAGGGCAGAAAGCACTGCTATTTCCCATAAGAAATGGTCCTTCCTGGGCTTCCCTGGTGGCACAGTGGTTAAGGATCCGCCTGCCAATGCAGGGGACACGGGTTCGAGCCCTGGTCCTGGAAGATCCCACATGCCACGGTGCAACTAAGCCCGTGCGCCACAACTACTGAGCCTGTGCTCTAGAGCCCGCAAGCCACAACTACTGAAGCCTATGCGCCTAGAGCCCATGTGCCGCAACAAGAGAAGCCACTGCAATGAGAAGCCCGCGCACCGCAACAAAGAGTAGCCCCCGCTCGCCGCAACTAAAGAAAGCCCCAGCGCAGCAACGAAGACCCAACGCAGCCAAAAATAAATAAATTTAATTTTTTAAAAAATGAAAGAAAAAAAAAGAAATGGTCCTTCTTTACCCTACACCTTATCACACCAAATGCTGTAGATGCAAGAGAGACCTTGGATCCCTCTCCGATGGCCCTCCTCACCCCCGTATGCCCACACACACATACCACCACACCCCATCACCTGTAGTGAAGGACAAATCGACATGCCACAGCACCCAGGAGCAGGATGATGGTCAGGTAGAGCTTGAACTTCTCATACTCATCCTTGTAGGCAAATCTGCAGAGACAGACACCCCCGGGAAAGGTCACATAACTATAGCCCACCTGGGGGAAGGACCCTGACCCCATCAGGTCCTTGACCTGCTGATCACACTAAGGGAGAGACTTTGAATTAACGGTGATGATTAATTTGGGAAAGAGGGCCAGTGTGCAAAGCTTCCGTGTCCCTGGACTCCTGGTTTAAGGTTCCAAGCCTGTGATGGGCAGGAGGCAGAGACAGGGTCTCCTCCCACAACCAGCTACTTCAGAGGAAAAGCCACACCTCCATTTCCCCTGGTAACTGATGGATTTGAGGTGGACAGGACTGGACTGCCTACCTCCCAGGAGGAACGTGTGTGACAAGGCATGGAATGCAGCAGGGGCCATTTCTCATGGGAAAGTGGCAGTCCTGTCCACCCTGGGTATTGACTCTGTGAAAGGAAGGAAGGAAACCTCCCCCAGGTGGTCTACCCACTGAGGAAGAGACCTCAGAGTCTCGTCCAAAAGACCAAAGCCAGACTCCCAACTGTGAACGTTTTTTTATTTATGCAAAAATACTAGCTTGGTCCCATTTCTCCTGAGTTGCAAGAGCAAGATGCCTGGATTCTGTAAAGCCAAGTGGAGGGTTGTCTGGGATACTTACTTGGCCTGGTTGCTGAGAAGGGTCACATTCACATTGCCGAGAACCAGATTTAAGTAGAGCCTGGAAGGAAAGACCTGTGAGCGCCACCATGTTAACAGCCCCAGGAGTGGTCCCCAACCAAAAATATCCAAGCTTAATAAGCATAGCACTGAGCACCGGATATTAGAAAATAGGGTGCTAAGCTCAGCAGTAAAAGCCTCACATGGAGCGAGAATGAAAATGATTAAGTAGAGAACATGACAGCTGTGACACGACCTTCATGATTAACCCATTTCTCCCCATTTCAGCTGGCTTAGAGACCATATTTCCTGGCCTCCCTTGCAGCTAATGTGAGCACGTGACTAAGCTCCAGCCAATGAGGTGAAGGCATGTGTACAGTTTCTAGGTCAATTTAAAAAGGGCTCTTCCTAAGCATACACATCTTAAGTATACAACATGATGAATTTTTATATATTTACATATCCATGTAACCAACACCCAGATCAAATAAAATGCTTCTAGCCCCAGGAGGTGCCCTCATGCCGCCTCCCGGTCAGTAAACCGCCCCCCGGCAAGGATGCCCACTGTTGTGTTAGTTTTCTCTGTTTTTGAACTTCACATAAATGTATACAATGTATTCTCTTTTTTATGTCTGGATTCTTTTCCTCAGTAATAAGTCTGTGAGCTTCATCCACATTGTCTGCATCAGTGGTTCCTTCTTTCCCATTGTGTATATTATTCTATGGAGTGGAGGTACCACAATGTAATTATTCATTCTACTGTTGATGAACATTTGACCTGTTTTCAGTTTTCGGCTATTATGAATAGAGCTGCTGTGAATGTTCTTTTTTTTATTTTTATTTTTAACTTGAGATATAATTCACATGCCATAACATTCACTTTTAAACACTTTTAAAGCATACAATTTAAGATGAATAGATAAAAAAAGATGTGATATATATATATAAACAACGGAATACTACTTGGTCATAAAAATGAAATGTCATTGGCAGCAACATGGAAGGACCTACAGATTATCATACTAAGTGAAATAAGTCAGACAGAGAAAGACAAATATCATATGATATCACTTATACGTGGAAACTAAAATATGATACAAATGAACTGATTTACAAAACAGAAACAGACTCACAGACATGGAAAACAAACTTATGGTTACCAAAGGGGAAGGGGTGGGAGAGGAATAAATTAGGAGTTTGGGATTAGCAGATACAAACTACTGTATATAAAATAGATAAACAATAAGGTCCTACTGTATAGCACAGGGAACTATATTCAATATCTTGTAATAACCTATAATGGAAAAGAATATGAGAAAGAATATACAAATGTGTGTGTATATAAATGAATCACTTTGCTGTACACCAGAAACTAACACAACATTGTAAATCAACTATACTTCAATAAAAAAAATAATGATTATATTATGTACATGTGCGTGTATGTACATATATATTTTCATCCCCCACTCCCTTCTAGAATGTAAGTTTTGAAAGCGCAGAAACTATGACTTATTTGGAGCTTTATCCACTGTACATAGAATGGTGCTGGGCACAAAGTAGATGCTCATGAAACTTGTTGAATAAGACAATAAATATTAAAAAAAATAAAAAATAAAGTATACAACTTAGTGGTAATCATTTTGTAATGTATAGAAATATCAACTCACTATGTGTACCTGGAACTAAAAAAAAAAAAAGAATAAATAATAAAGTGAGCTCATAAAAATTTTTTTAATTAAAAATAAATTATACAGTTTAATGGTTTCTGATATATTTACAAAGTTGTGCAACCATCAGCATCACCTAATCCCAGAACATTTTCATCACCCCCAAAAGAAAGCCCATACCCACTATCAGCACATTCCCCACTCCCCCCAGCCCCTGGCAACCACTAATCTACATTGCATCTGTATGGATTTGTCTATCCTGGACATTTCGTATAAATGGACTCATGCAATATGTGGCCTTTTGTGTCTAGCTTCCTTGCTGTGAACATTCAGCACTCATTTCCACCATACACACACACACACACACACACACACACACACACACACACACACACCCAGGAGTGGAATTTCTGGGTCGTATGGTATGTATGTGTTTGGCTTCAGTAGGATATGGCAAACATTTTTGTAAAAAGGGATCTGCTTGCCCTCTGCTGCCTGACTCTTCCCTGTTTCCTGAAAGTGAGATGGTGTGAGCCAGCTTTGGCCATGTAGCTGAGGACAACTCCCCAAGCGGGGATGAAGCAGTAATTTGGAAAAAGACCCTGAGTCCCTAGGTCACCTTGGGAGCCCACCACTCTCGGCCTTCAGGAGTCCACTCACCTCTGGACTGTTGTGTGTAAGAGACAAAAATGACGCATGTTTGAGCCATTGTGCCATTAGGCTTCTGTTACAATAGCCTGTACTCTAACACACTAATAAAGGTGCAAATAAAGGGTTATGAGATCTCAGGGGAAGAAGGGTTAATTTCACAGAGGGAGAGAGAGGGGGTTGGAAAGGCTTCACTGAGGTGGTAACATGTGAACTGGGCTTTGAAGGATGAGTAGAAGTTTGAGAGGAGAAAAGGGAACAGGAGAGCCTTCTTTCTAGCTATGAGTAAATTCTAGGGGCATTTCCAGTCTGGTGTACCTGGAGCAGAGGTGTGAAAAGACCATCCATTTTTCCCACCTAGCATATAGTCCCCACTTCCTAGAAGGGCAGTACAATTTCCCTTCAGAGAATCACTTTTCCCCTAGGCTCTAGGGTAAGGCACATGACCCAGGTTCCGCCAAGGTGGTGCAACTTCCTGATTGGGTCAATAACGATCATGTGATACAATCTAAGCCAATGAGAATCAGTAACAGGACTTTTCCCAGAACTACTAAAGAACAAAGAGGCATTCTCCACTGGATTTGCTAAGTGGGTAGGATGCAAACCCAGAGCTGCTGGGGCTAGCTTTGCAGAGAAAGCCTGCCTAAGAATAAAACTCATATGCTGGAAAAGAGAGTAAAAAGAAAGCTAAATGAGGGACACAGCCTAACAGTATCATTTGAGCAGCAGGATCCAGCCATACCTACAGATACACCTGGACTTTACAGTTACAAGAACCAATAAATCCCCTATTTTTAATTAAGCAACTTTGAGTTGGGTTTTCTGTCATTTACAGTCCAAGGACTCCTGACTAAGGTAACATGCACAGAGAACTAGGGAGATTGGAGCTGGGAAAGTGGATCTGAGCCACACTCTAAAAGAAGGTTATGCTGTTTCATTCTGTAGAAAGCTATCGCCACCCAAAGCCTAGAGTTTTTAACCAAATACAGCAAAAAAGAAGACAAGAGGAAGGGCTCTGGTAGAAGGCTCTGACTTAGGGCTAGGCCAAACCAGGAAAAAAGTCAGGTGCTTCCCAGGACGTACTTTTAGCTGCCCACGTCAAGTCATGATACAATATTGTAAGGATCTCTCTCTGGAACAGGGTGGCGGTGATGTCACTTGAGGAAGGAGATGGGACTTCTCTGAAGGAGGAAGATGGAAAGAACACAAGCTCTAGAGTCAGAATGTCTAGTGTTCACATCCTGGCTCAGCCAAACCCGGTCTGAGCCACCTGGGCAAGATACTCCCTAATGTCTCTTCTCTGAACCTTGTAGAATGCAGATTCCTGGACCTGACTCACCAGGTTGTTGAGGATGAAGTGAGTGACATCAGGAGAGCCCCCAGCACGATGCCAGGCATACAGCAGGCTCTCCATAAATGTCTGTTCTCTTAAGAGAGAACACCTTTCCTCTGGACCCCAGGTGGCATCAGGCATGTGGCAGATCCTGGGAACCAGATCTTTCATCTTGCTCCTTGAAAAAGCCCTTCCAGGAATGTCACTACCACACAGGAGGGGCTAAGGTCCCCTCCTGGGTCCATGGAGAGATGTGTAAGGAAGTTTCCTTCTCTTTCCTGCCCTTGTTCCCTCCTTTTCACCTCCAACTCAAGCCCCAACAGGGAGGCAGGAGTCACACAGACCAGGTGCTCCAGGCCGGGGCATCTGCCCACAGCGCTGGGGGTTAGGGAGTAGGTCCCCAGCTCCTACCCGTTCTTCTTGGGCAGGTAGGCCTCCATGTCAAAGAAGATGTTCTGCCGCTCCTTGACGTTGGCGCCCAACTGCTGAACGAGCTCTGCCTCCTCCCGACTGGCGTGGCGCTTGTACCTGTGGTCAGAGGTGTGGGCGTAAGAGAAGCAGGGGCGTTACAGAGACTGCAGGAAGAATCTGGAAACTCTGGGTACCGCCCTCCCACCTTGCCATCGCGATGCTTTTCACAACCTCAGTCCTCCACCTGTATTCTCTGCGTTTGAGGCTGACTCCCTGCTCGCCTTGTGACCTTGGGAATGTGCTTCAACCTCTCTGCCTTATCTTCCATACCTCAAACACAGGGATACATACCATCAGTCTTACCTTATAGACAATATCAATGTGAGAATAAAGTGAATAAATGCAATGTTAAGCATTTAGAATACCGGACACAAAGTACAAGTTCCATGGATATCTACTGGCAGTACTACTTTCCAGGCTATTCTATAGAAACAACCTGAGGATTACTAAGAGTACAGACAGGAAGGGTGCTTTGAAAGTATAAGCAGGCAACCAACCAAGGTCTGACTGTTATTCTTTGGTGACACTTAATCTCAAAACCAGGAAAACAAGTCATAGACACTCTCAGAATAGCAGGGGTCCTTGGTGTAAGAACATAACTCACGGGTCAACCTTCTAACTCAGTGGTTCTCAACTGGGGAAACCTGGGATGAGAGCACTTCTCAAACCATGAAGACACTGTCTGGGAACATTCTGGTTGTCAAGACAGGGGGAGAGGGTTCTACTGGCATCTAGTGGGTAGAAGCCAGGGATCCTGCTAAACATCCGACAGTGCACAGGACAGCCCCCAGCAGCAAAGAATTATCAATAGTGCCACGACTGAAAAACCCTAGACATATGAAAGACTCTTGAGTCCTGTCATCAGTAAGATGTGTTTCTCCAAGGGTGGTGATGTCATTACATGGAACCATCCACACTCTACACCATGACTAATGGGGCTCCATTTCCAAAATGGTCAGTCAAGGATAGGGGTATAATCAGTAACCATCCCAAAAATTGTCTACCAGGGAAAGGAAGAATTGACCAGGATTCCAGAATTGTCACAAACTCTGGAATGGAGGCCCAGCTAAGTGACCTGGGACGAGCCACTCAGAGCCTGTTTTCCTGCCTCCCTAGGGGAGGTCACAGTATCCAGCGGACGCCTTCACCTCCAGGGGATGAGAGCACTTCTCAAGCCGTGAAGACATGGGATTAGGAAGTGAACAGGTGATCCTGGCCTCAGGAACTGAACTAAGTCATGAGCTCAAGCATATCCCCACCAGGGATGCCGGACTTCTCACCCCCTACACCAGAGAGCCCGCTGAGGAGTGAGCTCCCACACCGGTGAGAAGGATACTTGCTATTTACCTGCCCAGTAGGACTTATTAGAACACCTTTCCTCTGGGGAACTACGCCTCATCCTCGCCCCCTCCCGTATGGTTCAAGTAGAGCTGTCCCATCCCCCAGGTCCATAAAGTGAACACATGACCGAGTCTTGTTCAACCAGAGTCTCAGTGACTGGTTTGCAGACAGGTACGTGACCAATTCCAGCCAATGAGGATCATGCCCAGAACTTCTGCTGGTATGGCCGAGCCAGTAGGAAGAAAGGCTGGAGGATAAAAGCCTGGCACTGTTGGTGGCCATCTCGGTGACCATCTCAGCCAGAGAGTAAAGCCAACCTAGAGGAAGGCAGAATTTAGAGGAAAAAAACAGATTCCTAAAAACACCCTTTGACCCCTGGATCCAGTGATGCCTGAAGCCACTCCTGGTTTTTTTCCATTAAAATTTCCATTCTCCGCTCAAGCCAGGCCAGTTTTGAGTTGGGATTCTGTCCCTTAAAACCAGGGGAGCCTTTGAGTTGCAGCCAGCCTACCTCTGGAGTGTGTGCTTCAGGTCCTTCAGTCGTGTCTTCTGCTTGTTGATGGAGCTGCTGCACGAAGTCTGGAGTGCGGTCAGCTCCTCCAGCTTCTGCCTGTAGATCCTGTGAGTATCCTAAGGGACAGAGCAGCCCAGGTAGCGTGTGCAGGAGGACATAATGGGGTCATTTTTCAGTTTGCTTGTGTCTGGGGATGTGACTACAGCAATCACAGTTTCACAGTTAAGATGATACAACTATGGATACCAAAGGAGAAAGGGGTGGGGTGGGAGGAACTGGGAGACTGGGATAGATACTTATACATTATTGATACTATGTATAAAATAGACAACTGATGGGAACATACTGTGTAGCACAGGGAACTCTACCTACTACACTGTGGTAACCTAAATGGGAGGGAAGCCCAAAAGGGAGGGAATATCTCTATGTGTATGGCTGATTCATTTTGTTGTGCAGTGCAGGCTAATGCAACACTGTAAAGCCACCATACTCCAATAAAATTAATTTTTAAAAAAGAGAGAGGAAGAAAAAGATGATACAACTACACCTATCAAAGATGTGGCTTATAAAATTGGGACTGGATTTGGGGAAGGCAGCACAGCACAGCATTTCTGCAATAAGGAACTACTGTTTTTTCCTGCGCAGGTTCCATCCTTCCTGATGGGAACAGCAACCAAATATGTCTTTGAGAGGGCAGCCACCTCTTGTCAAGTTTTAATCCAGATGGTTTGAGTAGAGCTAACAGTTCCCATGCCAAGAGTGGTCATGTGATCCAGGCCTGGCCTATCAGTATCCTCCAATCCCCTGGCAACTGATTGGTTCAGAGGTAGATACATGACTCAAACTGAGCCAATGAGAGTCAGCCCTGGGACTTTTACCTAGAAGTATTGGTTTAGTGATGCCTTCTTTCTCCTGGGTTTGCTAATCTGGTAGAAGGTACACCTGGGGCTGCTGAGTGGAGAGAGCCTGCCTAAGAATGAAGCCAAACGGAAAACAGAATTGAGACATGGTAAGAGACAGCATTCTCATAGCACCATTTCAGCCCTTGGATCTAACCAAGTCTGAATGTAATGCTATCTAATACTCCTAGTTACATGAATTAATAAATTTCTTTCCAGTTAGTCCAGTTTGAGTTGGGTTTTTGATCCTGGCAATGAAGATAGCTCTTGCTAAGTCAACTAAGAAAAGGACACACCTCTTCCCTTAAAGCCAACCCTCCCTACCCCAGGCACAGTCACTCCAATACACTCAACATCTCATTCCTGGAAATAACCATTCAGGGCCATAAGGCCAGAGGAAATACAAGAGACTTCACCCCAATGCAGGGAGAATGGAACACAGTAATTTCTCGACATTGCTGCCATAGCACACCTCCCCCAAAATAATGCCATATGCAGGGAAACGACCAGTTTCTTCTAGAGTTTGATAATCTAAGACAAATACCAACAATTTGGAGAAAACAATATGGGGGATGGGGACCAGAAAATTATAAACAATAATGCAATGAACATATTTAAAGTGGCTGTTTGCTTGGGTGGTGGAGAATTGTATTAGCAGAGAGACAGAGAAAAAGAGGACGGTCACACAGAGAGGCCAGAGCCTAAACTCTCATGTCTGTCAAGCAGGTTCCTAGATATGAAGGTTAAGCCAGAAAATAAGGAAAAAGTGAAGGCCCAGAAGTGAACAGATAGCAATTCGGAGCCACATGGAAGAATGCTGTGAGCGAGACGCCCTTGGCCCCCAGAAGAGAGGGCTCAGTCCCCTGGACTTATACAGTTTCCTCACTCCTTCCCAGGCCCCAAGAGAGGAAAATTGTGTCTCTTTTTTAATTTAACTTTTAATTTTTAAATAATCTCAAACTTCCAGGAAATTCCCTGGCAGTCCAGTGGTTAGGACATGGTACTTCCACTTCAGGGGGCCTGGGTTCGATCCCTGGTCAGAGAACTAAGATTCCACAAGCTGAGCGACGTGGCCAAAAAATTTAAAATAAAATAAATAATCTCAAACTTCCAAAAGAATTGTAAGAGTACAAAGAACTCCCCTATACCTTTCGCCCAGATTCACCAACTGTTAGCATTATGACATATTTGCTTTATTCCCGTGTGTGTGTGTATGTGTGTGTGTGTGTGCGTTTATGTGTGTTGGGTGTATTCTTTTTCTATATCAGGCATCAGTAAACTACAGCCCACCGGCCAAATCTGGCCACCTGATTTTGTATGGGCAATAAGCTAGAAATCATTTTTGCCTGGTTGGAAAAGATCAAAAGAAGAATACTTCGTGACACATGAAAAGTATATGAAATTGAAACTTCGGTATCCATAAATAAACTTCACTGGAGCACGGTCCTGCCCATTCATTTATATATGGTCTGTGACATCACAGCAGCAGAGCAAGAGTAGTGTGACAGAGACCACATGGCCCGCAAAGCCCAGAATCCTCACTACTTGACTTTTTTGCCAAAAGAGTTTGTCTACTCCTGTTCTAAACCATTTGGGAGTTAGTTGTAGACAACAGGCTTCTTTACTCCTAAATACTTTAGTGCATATTTCCTAAGGACATGACATTCTCTTATACATTTAGTTATCAAATACAGAAAATATAACTTTGATACAATACAATACTGTCACCTCCAATACCATCCAAATTCAAATCTGGATGCTAACTATCTCTTGATGGCAATTTCCCCCCAGACCTGGACCCAATTCAGTTTGATGCCCTATATTACTATTCATATCACTTTGGTCTCCTTTAGTCTAGACCAGCTTCTCAACTTCTGTCCTTTGTGACATCGGCATTTTTAAAGAGTTCGGTCCAGTTGTTCTGGAGAATGTCCCTCCACCTTGGTTTGTCTGATATTTCCTCATGATTGAATTTTAGTTATGCACCTGGGACAGAAATGCCAGTAAAGTGACGCTGGGCCCTCAGTGTCTCCCATCAGGAGGGACGTGGTGTCTGTGATGTTAACTTTGATTGCTTGGGAGAGGTGGTGCCCACCTGTCCTCTCCACTGTACAGTGACCAGCTTTCCACCTGTAATTAATAAGTAATCTGTACAGAGAGAGGCTTCAGTGCCAAAACAGTCCTCAATGTTCAACCAACATCTGCTGGTAATAAAGGAAACCCTCCAGAACTGGATGAGGAGGATGGCGGCAGAGAGACCCCCAACAAAGCAGCCTTTGAGAATGTGAGGTCTTTGGACTAAGAGTCCCCAGCAATGCCAGCTGGGCCATGCCACCTTCTGGCACTCTTTGGTGTTGGGTCCCACCACAGCACAAGAAGACCAAGACTGAAACATCGGCCAGATGCTTACCAGGCCTTCAGTTTAAATTAATATTTAATTCCACAAGTAAACATGAAGACATTATCCTCGTTAAAAATTAAAACACTGCAGCTACGGCTAGAGTCGGCTTTGAATATACCCCTATCCTGTCTTCTCCCACTTCTCCAGAAGTAACCACTGTTACCAGTTTCTTCTAGATCTTTTTCTATGTATTCTTCCAGACTGTATGTATCTATGTATTTCTATATTCCACATAGACCTATTTCTATATACACACACTTAACTATGTATACATATATATGAAAAATACACTGTTGCAAAAACTAATTGCCCCTAATACTTATTCTCCTTTGCTTCCTTTTAATAAGAGGACCCTACTGAGTGGTAGCCAGGCACGTGGCTGTCCAGCTACAGACATTTCCCAGCCTCCCTTGCAGCTAGGTGTGGCAATATGACCAAGAGTTAGCCATTGGGTTGCAAGCAGAAGTGATGTAAGTTCTGAACCACATTTTTTTTTTAACCATTACACCTGCCATTTCTAGCTATTCAGTTTTCACATGTCAAGTCAACATTTTCTGCCAAGAATAACTGAACCACATTTTTATAAGGAATGGCTTGCCCTCCACTCTCTTTTTCCCTGGCTGGCATATGGCAACAATGGATCCAGTTATCTTGAAACCAGAGATGGAAGCCACATAATACAAATGACAAAGCCCACTGTGCCCTCCTCAGCCAAACGAACCTGGATCCCGGGTGACCTCATGTGACAGGGCTTCCCACCTGTGATTGTTTTACAACAAGACCACCAAGCCTTTAGCACTCCTCACATAGAGAAGTGGGTTCTCTGTTCCCTCTCCTTAAATACAAGTAGGCTTGTGGTTGATTTGACCAATAAAATATGTCAAAATTACCCAAAAAGCAAACAATCTGATTAAAAAATGGGCAGAAGATCTGAATAGACATTTTTCCAAAGAAGCCATACAGATAGCCAACAGGCACATGAAAAGATGCTCAACACTGCTAATCCTCAAATAAATGCAAATCAAAACCACAGGGAGATATCATCTCACACCTGTCAGAATGGCTGTCATCAAAAAGACCACAATTAACAAATGTTGGTGAGGATGTGGAAAAAAGAGAACCCCTGTGCACTGTTGGTAGGAATGTAAATTGGTACAGCCACTGTGGAAACAGTATGGAGGTTCCTCAAAAAACTAAAAATAGAATTACCACATGATCCAGCAATTCCATTCCTGGGTATATATCTGAAGAAAATGAAAACACTAATTAAAAAAGATATAGGCACAGCAGCATTATTTACAATAGCCAAGATATGGAGGCAATCTAAGTGTCCATCGACAGATAAATGGATAAAGATGTGGTATATACATACAGTGGAATACTACTCAGCCATAACAAAGAATGAAATTTTGCCATTTTCAACAACATGGATGGACTTGGAGGGTACTATGCTTAGTGAAATAAGTGAGACAGAGAAAGACAAACACGGTATGATATCATTTATACGTGGAATCTTAAAAAAATAAAACTAGTGAATATAACAAAAACAGACTCACGGATACAGAGAACACACTAGTAGTTACCAGTGGGAAGAGAGAAGGGGGAGACGGGCATGATAGGAGTAGGGGATTAAGAGGTACAAACTGCTATGCATAAAATAAATAATTTACAAGGATATATTCTAGTAGAGAATGGACTTGAGGACACGGGGAGGGGGAAGGGTAAGCTGGGACAAAGTGAGAGAGTGGCATGGACTTATATGTACTACCAAATGTAAAATAGATAGCTAGTGGGAAGCAGCCGCATAGCACAGGGA